TGAACCACAGCTCACCAGGCCATGTGAGGGTGGGGGTGGTAGGCGCTTACAGCTTGGTGTTTTCTAGGGTATCCAAGAAGAGAATTATATATATACGAGCCGACCCGCAGCGTATCATACGCCGCTATTTAGTTGTTTTATTTTCTACTTTTCAGTAATTCATAATTTGTGAATTCGACAGTACCAATGCTGCCACTGAAAATATTTGCTTTAAAACACTAACCCCCCCCCCCCTTCCCCTAACCCCGACCCTACACCCCCCCCCCCCCGTGAAAGCAGCCTCCTCTTAGTTATTTCTTAGTTACCTCCTGTAAGTTTAAAATCGAACTAAATTATCTGCCCCTAATAGAAACCCGGTTCTACGGCTCTACGATTTGTAAACATTTAGCTTTGTAAACATTTAGCGTGACAACAGCTCACCAGATATATATATATATATATATATATATATATATATATATATATATATATATATATATATATATATATATATATATATATATATATATTCAAGAAAGTTTAAGAGAGATCACTCCCGGTTTATTTTTTTAAATATCAACGTTTTACACATGCCACGTTGGGGAAAAATGTTTTTTTAATCTTCTCTTTATATTTGCCTGTCTGTTAATGAGTATGCGAATGTTGTGTTTCATTTAGGTGGATGAATTTCATATATGAGACCTTTTTACGTTAATTTATATTCTAGTTTCAGCAATTTCTGATAACATAAAGTATTATTCTTTTGTTTTTCTAAACTTGTTTGAAATCGAGAATTGTATATTATATTCTCATAAACACAGATATGTTTTTCGACTATATAACTTTTCTTAAAAAAAAACAAGCAGATCGTATGTTCTATTTCTTTCGCCTGCTAGTACTGGTAGAGTCTTCTAAACCTTTACATTTGTATACGAAGTTATGAGAAAGTCTTTGGGAATTCACTCCCCCCGTAACTTGCCTCTCGCAACATAGGGCTTTACAAAACGGTTGAAAGTTAATATGCGAGAAAAGGTCACGACTAACTCAAAATAAAGTCCCCGACTTCATCTTTCCTTCAGATCGTTGGGTCGCAACTCGATTTTAATTGAACGGACATGTATACATGACTGCCAAGTTTTTCGCTTAACTCGTGAAGATTTCGTTTGTGTATCAATGAAACAATCGATTAGAACTTAATGACTGTATTACTGAATGTTAGGGGCAGGTGTTGTCGAGTCGGTAAAGCTCATGATTGCTAAACCGAAAAGTCTCGAGTTCGAACCCTCGGGCAAATGAGGCGCTGGGGACATCCACTCTTCTAGGAGAGACAACTCCAAAATCAAACAACTGCCGCCTTGTAGTTTGATCTTGGTTGGACAAAGGCTATGGAAGCAAATCCAAAAAGAAAAGCAGGCTAAAATCGTAGTCATGGCCACAATGGCGCATAACCAGTTGACACGTATCCTTAATTGTTTTGGAGGCGTGGTCGAGTCGGCAAAAGCTCATGGTTGTTAAATTCGAAAAATTCTCGAGATCGAACCCTCTGGCAGATAAGGCTCGATCTCTTCCATTGCTAAAAAATTAAGGACGAAGAAGAAGACTGATGTTTGGTCATATGCGAACATGAATGTCTCAAGTTCGGATCCTAGGCGCGAGTCTGTGGCACGCCTTCGAGTACCCCGAGCTGTGTTGGGTAAAGTATACAGTAATAATGACATCTTCTCTTCATAGGTCGAGATACAAAAAGGGGGCACTCTACTTCACCTTTTTTTTATATGTCGCCGACAATTATCATTTTATATTTAATAACAGACGTACACGTTTATACTAAGTTAACTAGGCGTCCGTCTTTAGACACAGGCCCGAGGTTTTTTTTTTTTTACTTCTCTATGGGTTTTATGTTGCGGTTGTTTTTGTATGGTGCGAAGTTGATAGACTTTAACATAACCCTCCTACATTTTCATCCGGATTATGAACGATAATAAAGGAGTGAAAAAGAACTTAAATGCATTACCAGATGTTCAAATGAGACCTGACACTAACAATCTTTGGCGACCCAACAATGAAATTGTTTCATTAGAATAGAAAACAAGACAAACTCACATGATCCATTACACGGCTTGTGGCTTCAAGAACATTGACAGCAAACATGTCCGCGCCGTATCCCTCACATTGTTTTATAGCTCTCTCCCACTGCAAAGATGGCTCCAGGTTCTCGCTGAAGTAATAACAATAGGCTCCCAGCGGCACCCAATTATCCGGGCACCATAGCCCTGTGGAATGTATCGTAGTTTAACGACACACACTTCTAACACAATTATTGATTAGCTACCATGATTGCCGTCATAGCGTCTAGTCAATTATATATATACAACAGATCGTGAGGTTTAGCTAGACTCACAATAGAAGTAGTCATTGTAGCTACTACCTCAATAAGTCGGTCTGTAGTAACCTCTCTCTCTCTCTCTCTCTCTCTCACTCTGTATATATATATATATATATATATATATATATATATATATATATATATATATATATATATATATAGACATATAGTTTAAATACATGTGAAGGGGTGTATTTTATTTACTATACAAAAGTACCAAACTATTGTCATTATGATACGTACAAGTTTGGAAACACAGAGAAGCACATATCGAAGACAGAAGACAAATCAGCAGTATGAGTGTTGTTGCGGACATCTTGATACCTGTCTGACAAATAATAAAGTAGTGCTATGATTTAAAAACTCTACTCCAGCTACACGCGAGTGGTAGACAGCCGGACATAGAAACTCAGTCAAGGGTAGCTTTTGATTGAGTGGACAGTGTACACAAAGTATTTTATATGTATATAAACAAACGTATACACTTTTATTAATCCAGAAATGGCATGCTTGCTTAATGTAGCTTTAAAGTAGATTGGCAGTATTTGAGTGATTAAGTTTTATTTTACCAGATTTGGTATTGACAGAACGGAACTAGGGCTTCTTGATTATATTGTCGGCCTGCATGTCTATATTTCTATCCACATGAGTATCAGTGCCTCTCTATCACCAGAATGTCAGTCTTTTCGTCTTTTGATTAACGTTTAGCGAAGGAGTGGCCTAGCGGTAGATTTACTTTTTTGGACAACTCTCATTAGACCCATGGAGGGAGGGGGGTTATATTATAAATAGAATACATTTTTAAAACAGTGTTAGCTTCTCTGTCCCAACCCCCACCGACATTTTGAGTAAACACCCAATTTGAATATTTCAAGTTTTGTTTTTCTACAACAACACGTTGAATAAAAAGAATCAAATTTTTTTTTCAAAATGAATGTTTTTAATATACTAAACAAGAAAGCTTACTTAGGGTAGTCCAACAGGAAGTTGAGATAACTCCCGGTCTAGCTAGTCTTCTTATTTTTCTTCGTTCTTAATTTAGTGTTCAAAGGGATTACCTCCAACACAATTAACTGGTTATGCGCCATTTATGCCGTTGACTCCGATTTTAGCCTGCTTTTCTTTTTGGATTTGCTTCCATAGCCTTTGTCCAACTAAGAACAAACTACAAGGCAGCAGTTGTTTGATTTTGGAGTTGTCTCTCCTAGATGAGTGGCTGACCCCAGATATCGAGCCTCATTCCGGGATTCGGGAGTTATCAATTCAGCAGCCATACGTTTAACCGACGCGACCATGTGTCTAGCTAGTAATAACCAGGTTATTAAAACACCCACTTGTCGCACCGAGGGTCAGAGGTCAAGACCTGACCCAGACATGCATCAATATCAGCAGTTGGCCAGACATTTCGAGTGTTGTTGTTAGCCCTCAAATTAGAAAGTACGGGGCCACCTATCAACAAACGGCTAAGTATCACTGCCAACACACGTAAATTGGGAGCGATGTTTTCATACTTTCGCAGAGGTGTAGCAATAGGGGTGCGAGTGCGGGGGGGGGGGGGGGGGGGGAGTTACATATGTTCTCGGGAGCCGACCCTAGGGGCGCCAAAATAAGATGGAAACAAAAAATTAAAAGCTCGTTTTAGCTTCAGTTTTGAAATATAAATATAAAGAATATAAGGGGTGGTGCGCCAATTGAAAGTTGGTCCCCGGGCGCCGGGAGGGGTCGCTACGCCTCTGTGTACGTTCGACAACTGTTCATACTTGTGGACAATTGAAGAAACAAGTATACCATTTTCGTGTCTGTTACTACCCCATACTTCTAGATGGCTTAGAAGAAGAAGTAGGATCAAGATTTTCCTGCTAAGTTACATATTACAGGCGTGTCTCTTTTAAACCTATTAGAAGCATATTTAGAGAACATAGTCTACATTACAACAATAGCCAAATAAAAATTAGATAATCTAGAAGCAAATGTTAAATATATATATTAACTCACCCTCCCCTTACCATACTACACATAACAAAATTTCCCTACTATACTTTTAAATTTACCAATGTTTAAAGTTGTTTTTTTTCCCACGTTTAACATATAACATAATATAAAAGTTAATAATGGCTTGCAGCTAAAGCCCTACATTTGAACCCAATTTTTATATATTTTTTTTAAAGATAAAGCACTCATGCACTTTATTATATCATGCTATACAACAGAGCTGTTGATGGTACTTTATGTCAATACATATAACAAACATCGAACAATAGCTCTTTACATTTCCTCTGTGAAGTGTTTATGTGAGATAGTGGCAGTTGGGTGGGTTCGTGTCAAACATTCATGTCAATATCATGACGTTCCCACTTGATGTTTTTACACCAATTACATGACATTTTACACTTAACAGTTTACATCAGTAAGATGACATTGCCACTTTACATTTCATATCATTTTCACATCAATTTTATGATATCCTGCTATGCCGCTGCGCTATGCATTCATTGAAAGACCTAGACAGGCTATGCAACTGATTTACAAGATTTACAAAATGATACCTTTTTCTCTCATATTAGTTTAGGCTTGGATTCGACTGAAACTTAATAAAATGTGTCCAGTGACTTAAACAAAACACAGTATACTGCATTTAAAGTGTCGAGAATATTATTTATTAACACATAATTAACAAACAAAGTTAGAGGTTTTTAGTTAAAACAGTGGTCATTAATATAACTTACATGTATGGTCATACATTAAACGCAAATCTAGGTATAATACACAGTATAATAACATAATTTACAAATACAACACAATTTTTTAGATATGCATGTGAAAATAAACCACATATTGATATTCAAAAACATAAATTTTGAACACATCAATTACTTTAATTTTTTATACGTTAAAAAAGTGTTCCATAGAAATTAATATATTAACTTGTTATTAACGCTACAATGCTTGCGTTTAACAAGACTGAATTAAATCATTTTGTTTAAATTTTACAATAATTGTTTATCGAATTCTGTATTATAATTATTGATGTTAGTTATTTTGTTTTTATCGTAGCTGAAATGTCAAGTTTCGATTTAGCTGAGGGAATCTATTCTGAATAATCAAGTTAAAAGTATGAGTGGAATTCTCAAAAAAAAAAGTTCATTTAGGCTGAATAAAACTATAGCCGTCCTCTAATCTTCAAGCTTGAATTGACGGTTTAATTTCTTTTAGAACTTGTTTGAGCCGTACAAAGCCTGAAAACAAGAACAATGTAAAAACAAAAGTAATATTACAGTTAAAAAGGGTGATATCATATATCTTTACAGGAGTAGCAGTTAGCTATAATGATTCGTTAACATTACATTTAACATTGTAAAAGCATAGATGATAGCAAAATATTCTATCACTATGAATCCAAAGGTGATTCTAATTTGTTTCGTTAACTAACGATAAGATTTTTAACGTAACGTAAACACCGCTATTGAGGATATTAGAAGACACACTAAAGGAAATGACTTAGTATTCATACTAGGTTGTTTTATAGTAATACATATATACTTTAAATTTAAATTATTACATAAACAATAAATTGATACTATGATGCATAACTCTGAAACTAATAAACCAGTTGTGCATCTCGATACAACAATTTTACTTCAACAACTTAAAATATTTACCCTAATGCAATCGAGCCCTTTTTTCACTTAGTAAATCGCGAAATAGAATGAACATTGTTTTATTGTATCAATCGTTGTCATTAAAAATGTGAATTTTTTAATTTAATAAATGGTAATTGGAATTAGTGATGTGGCTTAATTTCAAAATCACCCCCCTCCCCACCGTGTCTCTCGATTATGCCAATTTACCTTCCTCGTGCACCTGGGCATCTAAAGACAACACCAGTCTAAACCAGCCGGGCTCAGGTGAGTAGCACGACTGCCCAGGTAAAAAGAACACACCACCGTCCAAGAACTTTCCAAACAAATCTCTCTCAGCCTCAAAACTGTTGTCAGACAAAAACTGTAGACATAATTTTAATGCACGTATCAGTATCGTATGGGACGTAGACGTAGAGTGCTATACTGGTAACATGAAACTCTCGAGTTGGAAGTCAGTAGAACGTCGTTGAGTCCACCCAGCTCTTATGGGTACCTAACTTACGATATAGAAAATAAATGCGGATGGGCGTAATTCTGTTCACACAATCTCTTCTTATTCAGAGGTAAATAAACATATAAACTCTACTTCCTCTGCCCAATGCATCGCTAGGTCTAAAGCGGTATATTTATCAGTATCTTACTGATACATTACCATTGATAAAATATATATTTTTGGGATCAAGGGACATAACTTATATTGTTTTATATATTTAAAGATATACAGAGTTATAGTTTCGAAACTTATGCAAGTGAATTTTATCTTACGACCTTAAGTAAAGTATTGTTAGAATCAAAATGCCGTTTTAGCTAATCGAAATAATTATTTCACATATCCAATTAAGTCCAAACTTTAACATTTAATCTAGCTGTAGCATGATGCCAAATCATATCATTAATATTAGCCTTGGAATGGTCTATTACTAATTCTAACATTACAGCGTACTATAATAAATCTGTATAAGTATTACACTTTAGGCGCCTTTGTATGACTGCTACTGTCCCTACCCTCTTATATAAGACCAAGATGGTACCTGCGAGAAATTGGCCCACATAAATATGGTCGCCGGGGTGGGAAACACCTCTACCCCGTATGACGTCAGCATGTCGCGGGTCTTTGTGAAACGTTCGCGCATTCGTCTGCGCATTGTAGGAAACAATACATTGTCCAGCCAATCTATAGAATAAACAATACGATTGTTAGGGTTGGCAGATAGTAGTTAAAACCTACCAGCTACCATAACCCTCCCTTCCACAACCAACCCTACCATGCACCAATCCGACAATCCACCTTAAATTCTCCCATCTACCAACCTCACCATCCATCATCTACAATTCCATTCACCACCATCCACACCGCCAACCTCACCATCAACTACACCACCAACCACACCACCAACCACACCACCAAACCCATCAACATCCACACCTCCAACCACATCACCAACCACACCACCAACCACACGACCAACCACACAATTAACAACACCACCAGCCACACCATCATCCACACCGCAAACCACACCGCCAACTACACACTACCTACCACACCACCAACCACACCACCAACCACACCACCAACCACACCATCAACCACACCACCAACCTTACCATCATCTCCTAACACCTGATTCAGCCTATGCTGAATCAACCCAGCACACCTGAAATAGATGCTTGTAAGACCCAGGTACTGGGTCAGACCCGGGTTACACGTATATACCACACCACACCGGTATCCAGACAGACCCAGATCCTGCGATAGTTTTTAAAAAATCAATTGCGTATACATAAATCAAATATTGAAAAACATTTCGTGGCAATGTCTGATAAAGCGATATCCTAGAATTATAAGACAACCCACTAACAGCAAAGAAAATGTTATTTTACTGTGAATAATTTTACAAGTTACTTCAGATAAAAATTATTTAAACCAAAAAATTTTATCTAACATATTGGCTTTTTTTTTTTATTTTGAAAGGCTGCCTCATAATTCCTATATGCATTATTTATATTAATTTTTTTCTAGACTCTTTTGTTATCGAAGAGGAAAAATTCTCACCTTGCTCACCCCCCACGTAAAGTGGACTCGCCCGGGGTCCGGAAGTGGAAGCGACAAAACACTGGTGAATCTTACATCCGGGTCAGAGACCGACTGAGCATAGATCTCATTAGCGATGACGTGTAGCTTGTATCTGTAAAAAAATGTTATTATTCTTGATCCTGATGCAGTTTTTTTTGTTGTTCCTTATAATGCTGTATTTTAAGGGGGTAAGCTCCAGGAAAAAACAACAAATGGAAACTTTAAAAAGAAAATAATCATTTTTTTTTGTATTAATAATTTGTGTTAAGGGAACATATTTTCATTCATCAGGGACGCTTCTTAACATATGGTTGCCATTAAAACGGCGTCGATCTTGACAGTTAAAAAAAAAAAAAAAAAATAAAAAAAAATAAAAAAAAAAAATATAAATAAATAAATAAATATATATATATATATATATATATATATATATATATATATATATATATATATATATATATATATATATATATATATATATATATATATATATTCATCATATAATCATTCATCATTCTTGTTCTACCTTTAATAGAGTCAGCTGACTATTTTTTGTAAGAACAAAAAAAAAAAAGTAGTTTTATTTAAGAGACTACAACGTTAAAAAACCTTTACTGAAATTGTGCTTTATGAAAGATAGTTAAATATTTGTATTATCGACTGCAAGCAGTAAAGTATTTAATTCATTGTTGAACTTTATATTGGTTTTCTTATGTTTGTACTTATTTTAAAAAATATGTTATCAGAGAAGTGTTCTCTACATTCATTTATCTTATCTTCTTCCCCGTTTGTGGAGTTCATCTGTTTCAGAGACCTCGTTATATGAAGGGATAGCGTGGTCAGCACTATGCCCAGCCGCCTTTTTTCCCCTAACGTAAGTTATGTACCCATTAGAGCTGGGTGGACTAAGAGACGGTTAACTGACTTGAACCCGGATCCGTACTTGAGACTTTCGGGTTAACAGTCTAGCTCTCTATCGCTAGACCACGCCGTCCCATCATTCACCGTTACTTCCTTCAGATACACTTCCCACTATTCTAAACTTGGCGGAATAATACACGGCCTACGGAATTAAAGACGAAAACCGACATGTCGACATTTGTATAAGCTCAACCAATCGATCTAAATGTCTGTGTATCATAGATCAAGCCAATTGATTTTTATTTACACCAGGCGACGTCTTTTTATAAACAATTTTTTATGATGATTGTATGTAGTTCGCTGAAATCTGGGACGGGTTGGCCTATCGGTAAAGCGATAGACTCCTAAACTGAATCTCTCGAGTGTGAATACGGGATCAAGTCAGTAGAACGTCGTGAATTCCCTACTGATCAACATATTTGTCCACAGGCCGAGGTCACCCTCGGGTTCGAAATAGGAATTTATTGAAACGTTCGACTGTCATACAAGTAACCCTTGGGTTGTTTTTTTTACGTTTTTTTTTTGGTTCTTTTAACTGAAACTGCTGATATACGTAACTCCGGTTTTGCAACCAATGCTTTCTGACGATTTGGTCCACACCTACATAATAAAGTATCATGTTTTCCAATTCGTGTCAAATGGGTTCAATGACTTTGGCATAAGAAATTATAGTGTGAAGACCACTATTTTTAACCGCTTTTGTTTCTCCAAGTTTGCTTGTCTCAAGAACCCGGATTCGAACTCGAGACTTTCAGGTAAGCAGTCGTAAGCTCCACCATCGGACCACTACCTTCCCACACCCCCATATTACATGTAGTGTTATTACTACAGATCATGTTATAAGACGAAAGATACACTACCTGTTGGCGAAGTCCAGGACCTGCATGAGATGATCTGACGTCATCACAAGACCAGACGGGTTCGATGGGTTGACCAGTAGAACTGCCTTGACCTGTTTACCCTGCCAATCACATTACGCAAATAAATAAAAAATCCTCAATCTAACGATCCATACGGCATATCTAGTATAGTGTTCATATATTTTCTGACGTCGGTACATAAAGAGACTGTTTAGGCAGCACTATATCCTGCCGTCTTTACTATCGTCAACGTGAGTTAGGTACCCATAAGAGCTGGGTGGACTCAGGTACGTCCTTCAGTCCCAATTATAAACTGAAAACCTTCGGGCTAGTATCTGAAAGCTCTACCCTTCGTCCACGTTAGCTAATAAGTTTTACTGTACACACTTAAAAGTGAAATATTTGATAGCTAGGTACACAATGAAGCATTATTTGATTAAACATGGGCTATCATGGAATATGTTTACCAGACTATCCTGTACGATACTTTTACTGGGAGGGAAGGGGGGTTTGACTCAAAAAGGCAACTAGAATTTTGGAATATTTATCATGGAATTACATACTGTATAGTTGTTGTGATTTTTCTATTAACATTGTAAAGCAAACACCAGACCATTCCTTGACCCCTAGAAATATTTATTTTAATATAGCACCAAGCGAACCTTCGAAATAATTTCTTAAAATCTAACACTAACTAAGCCAATTTATCTCTATGCTGCATTATTCCTAAAAGGATAACGTTGGAGTAGACAGATGAGGCTTTCAGTAAAAAGATCAATACTAGAGCCGATGTTTTTTTTTTTTTTTTTTTTTTTTTTCTGTTAAAAAAATTAAATACAAACAGCCATTGCGCTTAGACAGGATTCCATCAGGTCGTAAAAAGGTTGCACCAAGTTCGTACTACAAATAAAACCATTAAGAAAAGTAATCTCAACTTTATTACCGCCCCTGAAGCCTAATCATGCGACATGAAAAATCTGGTAATTACGCCATTCCATTACACGTGGGATTGGAAAGGGGAGGAGAGGGGGGTAATCGCTTTAAAACTTTTTTTAACGTCAAATTTTAAATTTAGATTTAAAATAAATGTCCAGTAAGTAGGTGTACGTTTCTCGAGAAAAAGGTCAACACATTTTATCCAGCTTGATCCTTTGATGCGATTTTACGCAGTGTGTCAGCGTAGCATGTCATATTTACTATATGTCATTTAACTTGTACCACAGTGGATAATAGGGTAAAAACATTTTAATTTTCACATTAAATATGATGTATTGACAATTTGAGCTGCGATATAATGATTATACAAAACGGTATTGATATATACTAAAATTTCGCTAATTACTATACTAGCGTACAGACAAATATACCTTTAGACATATCATTAAACTTTGATATTTTCTGACTATATTAAATGCTTTCTACCTATTATAAAAGTAACGATTCCTCTTTAGACCTACGATCCATTGGGCAGATGTTTCTTGACCTCGGCATATGAACGGATAATGTGGTCAGCACTGTGCCCAGCCGCCTTTACTTTCCATAACATGAGTCAGGTACCCATCAGAGTTGGGTGGACTGAGGGGTGTTCCACTAACTTGAACCCGGATTCGAACTCGAAACTATCGGATTAGCAGTCTAGCACTCCACCGAGTATACACAACGTTATTAATGAACTACCTAAAATGCCATTTTCGTTTGGATAAAATGTCCTGTAAAAACTGAATCATTCTCTGTCAATAACTACTGCAAATGTTAAGTAATGACTTCACAAAATGTCTTTGACCTGACTACAATTAAACGTCTCTAAGTAAATCGACTTTTTTAAAAAAATTTTTGCCTTCATTAAATCCTGGCATGTGATTTTTTTTTCATTATTAGCGTTTAAAGGGCCAACAAATTCAAAACATACAACCCTATTTTACTCAGTGTTTCTTCCAAACATTTCTCCCCGGATGGGGGGGGGGGGGGGGCACTTGAAATTTTCGGGGGGGGGGGGGCTGTAGACTTTATTCGGGGGGGGGGGGCGGACACTGTAAAATGTATATATTTTCTATATAAATTCCATTTCGTTCGGGGGGGGGGGGGGGGAGGAAGGAGGGCGGGGGGGGGGGGGGGGCGAAGAGATGCCTGGAAGAATCTGATTTTACTGACATTTAGATCCATATACAATATAAAGCCACCCCTTATTAAAATAATATATTTAGCAAGAATACAGACTGCTGACTATACTAAACACTATGCCAATGTTGTATCCTATAGTTCGATTATATGTGGTATGTCTATGCAGGTAAACAACATGCATGGATGCTTTGAGCCAACATTTTGGTCACATAAAAAAAGAAAGTGCTCATTAGGTAAGTGATAGCAAAGCTTTTAACTATTTTGAATTCTCCTTAACTATAATGACACTATAACTGCGTCAGTTTTCGTTAAACATTCCCAGAAGATTAATTAACAAACCAAAATAATGAAACAAATTTAAAATAAATTAATGCACGCTTTGACCTTTCATAATTAAGTCTGTAATATAATTACCTCGCTGATGGCTTTTCTATAAACACTCTCAAATACAACCGAAATGTCACCTTGACCTTGATGAAGTAATTCTAACTGAAAATATTTTAAAATAAAGCATTCGAGATTGAAATATGACATAAAGTATTCATTAAATTAATGTCGACATTGTGACACGATACTTAAGAAGATTTAATCGTAAATCTGAAGATGAAATCTCATGCTGAATTAGTGGCATGTACTTACACTAATGAAAACTTCTAATACATTTACTGTTGGCCTTTCGTACAAATCGTTCTTGATTCGGTAGTAATAAGGGGACATCACCATGATGAAATCTGAAAAAAAAATTAAAAGTAAAAAACCTTGCAATTTTTATGGTGTTTTGATGAAAGTCATCATGTTATTTAGTTTCGTACAAACATGTGTTGTGCTTTGGTATTGATCTAATGATAACGAGTGCGTTCAATAGTATTTGTTTTCGGTTAAATGCAGCGTAAAAGGGGGGAGGGGGGTTGTCCCATTTTGAGATAAGATATAGAGTTCGTTCAGACTTTGCAACACGGTTTTATGGGTTTTGCAGATGAATGAGGTGGTGATGCGTAAACACATGTGACGTAGGTTGATTCATGTTTTATTTTCTTAAGGCAACAAGAAAAAAAAACAATATTTATTTTTTTTTAATTAGAAAGATGGATTATTTATGGGATATGGGATATGTGTTGCAAGCGTTGTGAAGTCATATACACACGGCATGGTAGTCTGGTGTTGTGTGAAGACGTGTTGCAATACTGAATAAAGGGTGGAGGAGTTAGTACGATAAACTGCTAACCTGAAAGTTGCGAGTTCCAATCAGGGTTCAACTCATTTAAACATCTCTGAGTCCACTCAATTCTAATGGGTACCTAACTCATGTTATTGAAAGTAAAGGCGGCTGGACGTAGCTCTGATCAATATATCCCTTCACATGTTGATGTTACAGAAGCAGGTGAACTATACTTCACTAGCCACATAGACCTCCAGGTTCGAAAAGGTAACTTAACTTTTACTTTAGCACACACCTAAGAGCGTAATGCCTTTGATAGACTATTCCAAGTGTCAATATTAGAGTAGATATTCCAGCATTAAGTTACCTTCTAAAAACCACCAACGCCAAGACTATTCCAAGTTTTAAAATTAGAATAGATATTCCAGCATTAAGTTATCTTCTAAAAACCACCAACGCCAAGACTATTCCAAGTTTTACAAATTATAGTATATATTCCAGCATTAAGTTATCTTCTAAAAACCACCAACGCCAAGACTATTCCAAGTTTTAAAAATTATAGTAGATATTCCAGCATTAAGTTATCTTCTAAAAACCACCAACGCCACTAGAATAAAGAGTCATGCGTATCTCCATTGTACGCGAGCATATAAATAGAAGGTGACAGTTGAAAGTGTGTTTGTGTGTTCAGAAAATTGAATTAAAAGTATGACCAAACCTCCAGGATCCGCTAGAGCAAATGCCAGAGCTTCCAGTACTACTGTTACACCATTGGTTATAAAGATCTAAAAATAGATACAGGGTATGCAGTAAACAGCAAAAGAAAAAGTCGCCTCTACTATACCATTGGTTATGAAGATCTAGAGAGTTAACGTGTACAGTATAAAGCGTTGGTTATAATTTACAGAAGACATACATAAGACATACTATTTATTTGAAACAGCAATCATAACCCATCGGCCATCTACCAAAGAAAAAAATTATTTCTTACTACTCCAGCTATAAATAAAGTTATAGGTAATTGCCAATTTTAAGTAAGGTTTCTAGCCTACTTTAGATGGTATTGATAAATTAACTCTAATTATATTAACTTTATCGCAAAGAGTTTAGACAAATTCATACACTTGGTATTCGTTACAAGAGCAAGGGGAGGTGGGTGCTAGGGGAGGCGGGTGCTAGTGCTAGGGGAGGTGGGTACTAGTGCTGGGGGAGGAGAATACTAGAACTAGGGGAGGTGGGTGCTAGGGGAGGCGGGTGCTAGTGCTAGGGGAGGAGGATACTAGAACTAGGGGAGGTGGGTGCTAGGGGAGGCGGGTTCTAGTGCTAAAGGAGGCGGGTGCTAGTGCTAGGGGAGGCGGGTGCTAGTGCTAGGGGAGGAGGATACTAGAACTAGGGGAGGTGGGTGCTAGGGGAGGCGGGTTCTAGTGCTAGAGGAGGCGGGTGCTAGTGCTAGGGGAGGCGGGTGCTAGTGCTAGGGGAGGAGGATACTAGAACTAGGGGAGGTGGGTGCTAGGGGAGGCGGGTGCTAGTGCTAGGGGAGGCGGGTGCTAGTGCTAGGGGAGGTGGATACTAGAACTAGGGGAGGCGGGTGCTAGTGCTAGGGAAGGAGGATACTAGCATTAGGGGAGATGGGTGCTAGGGGAGGCGGGTGCTAGTGCTAGGGAAGTAGAGTACTAGTGCTAGGGGAGGCGGGTACTTGTGCTATGAGAGGCTGGTACTAGTGTTAGGGTTTTAAACTCAACACATTCGGGTTAACAGTCGTATGCTCTACCATCCTACCAAGCCGTCCCACAATAGTGCTAACGGGAGAGGAAAATCGTTTCATATAATTGTACAACTTCAATAGACAAAAACCATAATTATTATACACAGCTTTAGAAAGTAAACACATATTTTACACCCCCCCCCCCCCCCTCGCCGGTTGCATAATCTAAAATGACGTTTGTCGGATGTTTTTATTTCCTCTTTTTTTTGTTTTTTAACTGTCTGACTATAGACGATTCTGCTCTTAAAGGTTGATCAATAATGTTTATCGTAAAACTAATAAATATAAATATTTTGGTGCAAGAGAATATTGTTTATGAGTTGAGAAAGTTATTGTTGGCGTCATTATATTTCTGATTTTCTGGGTAGGGACCTAGACACTGTTGGGTTTTCAAATTGGGCGTAATGACAAAAAAAAACGTGGGTTTTTTTAAATGCTGACCTAGACATGAACCTTAACTGGCCTTGATTTTTGCATGGTTGAAACTATTACATTTTATCCTATTTTGAGGTTATTTTGATTTTAAAAATTTAGAGTGGATTTTGGACAGCGATTTTGAAATTTTTGGTACATTAAGCTATTGAAAAAGTTAATTGTTTTATATATAAAACCGTTTATGCTTAAATGCAGGAAATATAGAAAGTCCATGGTAAAATTCATATAGTAACAAGCACGATAGGAACTACGGAATGGCAATATAGTACCACATACAGTAGGATATATTAAACGGCTATGTAGTACCACTCACGATAGGAACTATTGAATGGCTATATAGGACCATGCAAGATAGGAACTAGTGAATGGCTATATAGTGCCACGCACATTAGGAACTATTGAATGGCTGTATAGTACCACGCATAGTAGGAACTATTGAATAGCTAGAGAGCACCTTGCGCAGTAGGAACTATTGAATGGCTATATAAAACCACGCAAGATATAAACTACTGAACGCATAGTAGGAACTATTGAATAGCTAGATAGTACCATGCACAGTAGGAACTACTGAATGGCTCAGCCAATTTATCATTGGCTCCATCTGACTGAGATATATAGGTCGACCATCTTAGACAAAAAATTACTGTAATATTTATTGATTTCTCCCTTTGGTTAGAGATCTACAAATTGTGTGACCCACAAGTTGGGTAGCGACAGGGGGCGGCGATCTAATTCCAGTCTATTATTGTGTAGCTGTGGAACTGGGTGTATGAAGTGATAATGTGGTCAGCGCTAGACCTTGTTGTCTTTATTTTCCACTGGCGTACCCGTCGCGCACTGCCGCGATCTCAGGAGAAAATAAAATTCAAGGGCACTCGTCATGATAACATTCAATCTACTTGCAGGGTTTATTTTTAGATATTTTTTCTGCGGTTGGGCACTTGAAACTTCCGGGTAGGTACTTGAAAAATTCGGTGAAGGGGGGATATAAAACTGGTTAAAGTATATATTTTCTATATAATTTAGATATTTCTTTTTCACCGAAGGACACCTCAGTGTAGAATAACCGCTGATTCAAGCACTCGCCCTGAACCACATGTGCAGGACGCCTATTCAGTCGACCCAGTGTGCTAATAATAAGGACTCTCGGAATAGGAACTTCACGGTATCGCCTGGGCGCCGCCCCTGCAATATTTCTTTTTGAGTGCTGAGACTTTCTCTGGAATGTACTCAACGAATTCCCAAATTTCATGGCGATCGGATAAATGGTGTTGTAATGCGTGAAAAAAAAAACTAGCCAGATACGCAAACACTCCATGCTATGTGTAGAGATACATTAATTATTTATCAGAGTTAGGGACGTGCTACAGATCTACAGTCGTAGTGAAGGAACACCTCGTCCTTGCAACTATCCGACCACACGGACCCGATCATTGGAGGCCTTACAATATTTTATACTACAAACAGTGTTTCTTGCAGACTTTTTTCTCCTTGGGAGGAGGGGGCACTTGATATTTTCGGGGGGGGGGGGGGCTGACAAAATTTTCTGGGAGCTGGGGGGAGGGGGTTGGAAACTGGCAAATGTATATGTTTATAAAAAGTATATGTTTATATATAAATTCCATTTCGTTAGAAGGGAGGGGGGGGGGGTCGATAGACTAGTTTCGCCCCCACCACCCCACACCCCCAAAGAGACGCCTGAAAGAAACTTGGATTACAAATAGCGACTAGTTTCACACACTTAAAGGCGGTTCATAGTGGAGTATTATTCTTCACTTGGTTTTAAAATATTCACCGTTATATGCAAGTATATAGTACATATCTCAGACTATTAATAAACTTTTAAAACTAGTCCTTATATAATATCTTTCTTAAACGATCAATTAACATTTACAACCAGCACATACATACAGTGAATTAAAAACGAAACTGAAAACTTACGTTGTCGGTACTTAATGGGTGGCGGGCCTTGAATCTCTTCTCTATAAACTTCTTCATCGTTTCCTTGAAACTGAAAGATAGCTAATCAATTAGTACAATGTTAAACCATCACACTTGCAATATTTTAATACTTTTATGCATAGAATTCTACTCTCAGATCTTTATTTTTGCAGAGCTAGAATTGGTTTTCTATTGAAAATCCTATAACAACTATGTATAAATATAACAATCTAGTGCTAATGTTCTTAGACTGAAACTTTACAATATTGTGAAGAAAAATGCGTTTAGACGTAAAAACCAATAAATGTCAAAATAAGTGAAAATGTATTGCAGATTAACAACATGTTTTGGGAAAGAAAAAAAGGTAATTCACTCTTTTTTTTTAAATAATAAAGTTCTAGAAAAAATAAATAAACAGGATAGTAAGAAAAAAATTAAACTGAAAATTGACATCGTCGAATGGAGAGGAAAGGGAGTTAATGCTATTTCCCCGAAATTGACAGGGGAGAAAACCACTGCATTGACAAGCTCTACCGGGGTAATCACTCACCCAATGTTTCCCGTGGCTTTCTCGTAATACAGCAGCGAGCCGTCTTCTGGTGCCAGTACCGCTGGACCCAGCTGGAATAGGGTCAGAAGTAGGTCACGTAGGTCAAATGTAGGTCACGTCAACAAAGAAGCACGTGATTAAAGAAGCTTGAGTTAATTATTGCTTTTGTGGTTTTCCCGATGGGGGGTTGATTAACAGTTTGTTTGCTTGTCATGTTAGATGTGAGTAATAACTAATGGGGAGGATGGTGGGGGAGACTAGCCTAATTTTAACTTAAGCGATAAGGGAGATGGGTAATTTGCGAACATTTGCGAAAAATCAATATTGTTGGTATTATTAATGACACCGTGGTCAAATAGTAGAGAGTATGACTGCTAACACGAAGGTTCGAGTTCGGATCCCAGGCTGGAGTCAGTCACAATTTCCTGAGTCAACCCAAAATGTAATAGAACGTGAACCAAGTTAAGAGACAGCAAAGTCGGCTGAGCATAATGCTACCCACACTATCTTTTCATAAGCGAGGCAGTGGCGTAGTTAGGATTTTCCGGCCCCTATTCAAAAATTAATAAATGTTAATAATGTTAGTCGCCCTCCCTACCCCACATTGAATGCCACTGTCAGTACTCTAAGAAAGGCCTTTTTGAAATTAAATTATATCTACAGTAGAAAAGAAGAAAAAATCTTGATTTCCATTTCTTTTTAAAATTATTTATATAAAATAAATATCAAAATTCCAATGTAAAAGTTTTAACTTTTTTTAAAGAAGGAAAAGGACCCCTATTTGCCTTGGGCTCCTATGCCTTGCTTACTCTAGCTTTACGGTAGCTACGTCAATGAAGCGAGGTCACTGAAACAGGCGAACTCTACATGGACCGTCACGATCAAAGGGGTAGCACACCATAGGGTTAATTATAGGAAGTTTTCACTTCATAAAATGAAATTATGGGCCGTCCATAAATGACGTCACGATTTTGTTTTATATTTTTGTCTCTCCACCTGCCAGAGGACAGAAAACGTCATAATCCCCCCCCCCCCCCCCCCCCCAAATAAATGACTTCACAAATTTCCTTATTATGTTCAAATCGTAATATCTTATTTTTAGAACGTGATTTATTTTTTTAAACAAGTAAATGAACAGGCGTATGATTATCTTTCGATTAATGTTAATTTTAGTTTTACAAAATAATAACATAAAAATCATGTATCCAATTATTTTTTTTTCATTATTATTATTTTGTATATTTTTTTTTTTTAGTCTTTACAAATATTACCCGACTTCATTTTATTCTGCGTAAAAAAATGAGTAATTATAGATTATAATGAGTACCTTTTGTTCCCACATATCTTCACATAACTTGTTCTCTGCTAGTCCAAGATCGGCAATACCCTGAAAAAGTAAGCAACCCTAATTAGATTTTATCATCAATAACAAGGTAGATGCAAGAAAAAAAAATTCGGTTAATTAAGAAATAATTTACAACTACTATGGTTCTATCTCGAGGGATATGACAGGCAACACCATAATAGATCCATGTGAGAGTAATTCCAGCAGGGATCCGAACTCGTGATTCGCAAACGATATCAGCCACCGGATCTTATAATTCTATACCAAAATGTATTACGTTTGTCGTTGATTTAATAAGAAAATTAAATATTTATTAACGTAAACTCTAAATAGAATTGTATGAACGGGCAATCTGCAGAGGCGTAGCGACCCTTCCCGGCGCCCCGTGACAAACTTTCAATTTGGCGCCCCCTCCTTCCCCCTGGGACCAACTTTTAATTTGGCGCCCTTACTGCATGCTTACTTACTTAAATATAGAAAAAAAACCATAGTTTTATGCACCTTTGATTAATTGATTTAATCGATATCTAACTCGATTTAATCACAACTAAAAGACTTGTCACAGTACTGATCTTTTATAGCAATAGCTGTTTAAGTAAGTAGTGAAAGTGATTTTTTTTATAATCTGAAGGTAAATGGTCTAGGTGAAGTAGAGTTCACCTGTTTCTGTGACCTCGGCATATGACGGGATAATGTGGTCAGCACTATGCCCAGCCAAATTTACTTTCCCTTATGTGAGTCAGGTACCCATTAGAGCTGAGTGGACTCGAGTATTTTCTACGTGATTCGAACTCGAATTCGGGTTAGCTGTCGTGCCCTAGTTATTTCACGTGTGTAAACAAAAATACTGTACTAAAAATCGCTAAAAATAATGTAATGAATGTTACACAACTATTAAACCAAAGCTTGAACTTGAACTTGTGTTATGTTATGTAACAAAACTATACCAGGACGATTTAACCTACAGACATACAGAACAGGCGAGTCGATTCCTGAGTCATTTCTGAAATCGATTCAGGGTCAAGGTCGAACCTCTGTTACGTAAGTACCAGTTGTATAACGAGATCGACAAGATCTCCTGGGAATGACAAATTAGGGGACATCACTCACTTCAAAAACAATCCCGATTGGATGTCTAGCTATGATCCTGCCTTATGACGTCGTAAACAAGGGAGAGAAGTACGCGAGAACTAAATTTTCATTTAGTAGTGGAAATAAATTAAACGCCAATTTTAAACAAACGTAGATTACATATCCACAAATGCAAAAAAATTATCATCTTTAGTGAGAATATGAACTAAAAACTACAAACGTAATTATACCTTTAAAAAAAAACTTTTATATATCAAGCAGACTATACAAATTATGTACCCGAAGAAGGCTGTTATTGAGATCAACAAAATGACTTCTAATCATGTCACAACGAACGTTTTTAGCACCAATTAAAAAAAAAGTAAATAAATAAATTTTAAAATAAATAAAATAAAAATTACCTAAATATTAAAAACCTACTCTATTTAATTTTGTTTTGTTAACGACCAAGTTCGAGACTAAAAAGGAATGTTAGCATCTGGCTAGAAAAAAATGTTGCCCTTTCCTTCTTTAAATTATGACAACACATTTTTTGAGGTAAACTTAGTAATACAAATGTTATGTAAAGGTCTATTAAATATCTATCATTCTATTTATTTCTGAAACACATAAGCTAATGATCGCCTAAGTCAAACAAATCTGAGTTTAATTGTCATAGTGGGTTAGAAGTCGATTCGTCTTGAGCTGTATGTTTTGGTTAGTAGTCGATTAGTTATGGGCTGTGTTGGTTAGAAGTAGATTAGTTAACGATTGTTTAGACACGTCACAGTTAGCGCATTCTATCGATTTTTATCTCAGAGAAACAGAACGTTAACTAGTTGAAAACAATAAGTAGAACAAAAAAATAATACCAAAGTATTTCGTAAACATAGAATAGTAGAGTGTATTTGGGAGTTGAGTGTCAATAAGCTAATTCCTAATACGTGTGTGTGGGGGGGGGGGGGAGGGGGCGAACTGGTAAAAGTATATATTTTCTATATAAATAATTTTTCGTAACGGGGTTAAGGAGTCGGCAGTAGACGTTTAACGAGGGTGCTCCGCCTCCCCCACCTCCCCGAGCAGATACCAGGGGCTATGTAATTAAAACAGGAAAACATCAGCGAAACAAGACACCTTTCAAAGTTACATAATCCAATCTAAATGCGGCTTTTCAGTTTCTTCAATATGCTGCAAGCCGTACTGAATTGAACCGGTGCTGCTTTTAGTTCTAAATGTAAGTACTCTATTCCGCGTTATGAAAATAATTCTACGTTCTTGTTTAAACTCACTGAAGATTTTCGGATGTGCATGCAGTAATTAGGAATTTTTTTTTTAATTAAGCGTTTATAAATGTCGGGAAAGTATACACGAATAATTAAAACACTAAATTCGCGATCAGTTTTGCGACATTCATACAACTCTAACTGTAACTAACTAGTGTTTACGACGTTGTTGAAAGCGAGCTTTCAGTAGAAGCCCTCTCTAGGTTAGCATCAAGCCAAGCGTATTTCTAACGGAGCCTCTAGCTATATTTATCAAACCATCAGTTATAATTTGCTGTTCAAGTTGCGGCTGTTATAACTATTTTACACTGATACTGGAAAGCATTTAAATTTTATTTGAAGAGAACGAATCCATCCAACTTATCTCCATCCTTGTACCAATATATGAAACGGTGTGGCCGAATCGGTAGAGCTCCAGGCTAGTAACCTGAACGTCTAGAGTTCGAAACCGGGTTCAAGTCAGTAGAACGTCCATGATTCTGATGGGTATCTAACTCATGTTCTGACCACATTTTCCCTTCATATGCAGAGATCTAGGAACTTATGAACACTACTTTATCTCCACAATATGATTCGCTAGGTCTATTTTACAAACTATTTTACTTTATAAATATAATCTCATTTTAAAAAGTTTACATTCAGATTCAAATCTCAAAGGGTTTACACATCCAGTGTTACTCAAATTAAACCTTTAATTAATTAACTAATTAAAATACATGCGACAGCGACCAAAGATAAAGCGAAAGACGCCATAATTAGCTCCCCTTGATAACGGTCCGACCCAGCACGTGAGGAAAGAGAGTGATCTCCCTGTAATGAACTATCGATCGCATGGCGTCATAGCCAAAAATAGCTCCCGTCCTTTGGTGTAAAGATATACATTCAAATATTGATTCAAGAAAACCTTATCTGTGATTGCGGTGGTTATATGATTTTTGGGGAGAGGGGGGGGAGGGGGGGGGGTTGATAGAATTGTGGAGATTTTTATTTTCTTGTATACGAAGTATAGATGACGTATTGTAATCGTGCATAAAACGAAATCGAGATTTGCACTAATCTTGACGTTTATTTAACACACCCTTGAGTCGGAAAAAACATGGTTTTGCAATTTTGTCTGTATGTCTGTGTGTGAATGTGTGCATGTATGTTGTTGCGTCTGTCAACACGATAACTTGGGTACCGTTACAGCTATGTTGATGAAATTTCACATATAAATATTATATGAAATTTGTAATACCCTGTCAACTTTTCAGCGAGTTCCGATAAACGGAATTGGAACTTATTCTATTTTTAGTTTTTTCAAAAGCCTATAAATTGAGTACGTTTTCAGATAGATAAACGAAATTTTACATATAAGTAAAAGATCTAATTTTCTGCCTTCTGTCAAATTTTGATTAGCTTCCGTTGAAAGTAGTAATTTACGCTATTTCCCATTTCTCAGAAAACGCATATGAATTTACAGAGTACCAATAATATTCCGCACTATTATACACATTATGTTTGCCGTTCACTTGCTATTTTTTAAAAATAAGTAATTATAAATGGATAAAAAAATCATGTCTATATCCCGAGTTGCCATGTTGCCATCACCCGTAATATTATATCAGAATATTCGAGAAAGTTTAGGGGAGATCACTCCCGGTTTATTTTTGTCAATATTTCCAGAATGTTTTGGTAATTTTTTTCTGTGTCGTGGACCGTCTTAGGTATAATCAACATTTAGGTATGTATACAAGAGTTATACATTTTATTTGGCCCATGGGTTAAGGTCTATAGTTAGAAAAAAAAAACTGTTAGGTATAAAGGTACTAACCGAATCTAGATCGTTAATCTGTGTACACTTAGTGAGTATCAAAATAAACAACGTCGCCGATATTTGATCTAGTGGTCTTTGTTCTACGATAAAGTTACAGGCTCACTTAGATCACGTCTATAACGCTGGCGGCATTTTTATTTTGTTTTATAAGACGAAAAACCACGGTGGGCGTCTTTTGATTTTATAGTACTCACGATGAAAGATATTATGGAGTTATTATAAAGTGAAAATAGATTTTACATTCAGAGGCGTAGTGGGTCTTCCCGGCGCCCGGTGACAAACTTTCAATTTGCTTCCCCCCCCCCTCCCCCCTCGAACTTTTTATTTGCACCCCCGCCCTCAAACTTTCGATTTGCACCCCCCTCGAACTTTTCATTTGCACACCCCCTCAAACTTTCATTTTGGCGCCCGCCCCCCCCCCCGTAAGGTCGGCGCCCGGGGACATATGTCCCCCCCCCCCCCCGCTACGCCTCTGCTTACATTAAAACTTGTATTTTTTATTTAATTTTCCACATTTAATTCACTGATAATTCACTTGTAACATGAAATATCTTTTAATTTCTTGAGGGGCTAGCTCTATAATACCTACAGCATCGTTGGCTATGATATCATTACTAATGTTTAACATCAGTGTATACTGGGCTTAACCATTCCCTTCTATAAAGAGGTTAACACTTATTGTTTGATTCTACTTCACGTATACTCATTACTATAAAGATCGAGAGAAAACTCGATTATATTTTTAGCAATAACGTTTAGGGATGCAATAGCTAACTCGTACGACTTGGGTCGCAAACCGCTTTCGAAACCTAGGTTCGTAAACCGGGGCTCGTAACCTGGGTTGGAGTCCCTAGTCGTCATTGATTCCACCCCAGCTCAGATGGGTAAATGACAGACAATAGGTTGGAAGCTGGGCATATAGCTAACCAGGCCGTCCCTTTTTATGCCATAGACAAAGAAGCAGGTAACTTTACTGTACATAACATATTTGCTCACTTTTTCAAAAAAAAAAAGATTATCATTTTTTTTTTAAATTTTTAATTTATATTTTATTTTTACTTTTTAAACTGCATGTCTCCCGTTAATCTAAACCACCAGATTAACTAAAATTAACTAATGTAAGTGTTACAGACCCGTGGGTTGTCCACTGGATGGTATCTGTTCTGTCTAACCCGAGCAAAGAATGGCTGGATGTATGTCCCCTGTGTCAGCATATCTTGACCTCTACTGGACAAAGACTCCGCCATCCTGACATCAAGAAAAAAAATTCCAGTATACGACAAAACAAATATTTGACGAATTATAATGTAGTAATATTATAATGTATAATTTTAACAGTGAATTACTTTCACGAGGGGTAGAAATATTAATAAATAACGTTTTATACTTTTTGAAAAATATCGTATTCAGCAAATCCTTAACCATCGTACTTAAATATAATTTAAGTATATATATATATATATATATATATATATATATATATATATATATATATATATATATATATATATATATAATATATATATATATATATATATATATATATATATATATATATATATATATATTATACGATAAAGAAACGTCATAATAATGTAAAATACATCATCACATACATAACAAGTCAACATGAAGTAAAACCAACGATTACATGATTGTGTAAGTAAATAATTTGTAACAATTAATATAGTTACAATGATGTTATGTTACGCATCAACTGAACGCATATTCTAATTTAACCATAAAACAATACGTCAAGCAAGCACATTTTGATGTCGACAAAAGCTAATGTGTCTATCTTTAGTTACCCAACATGAACTGAACCATGTCAAACAAGACACGCACTAATTCCGCCATATCATCAACGAAATTTCCGCCCCACTCACGCTACAATATTGACATAAACTAGTACGTTCATGAACTATTAACTCAATTAGACATGATCACATCAGTCGATACCCGGTATCGAATGCTGGGGCGAAACGAATCACTGAACCGTATCGAGTACTAAACCGCCATCAGTGACAGTTGCGGGGTACTCAACCGTGACTAATTGCGGAAACCTCCGTCAATTAACTTCCCTTGTCGTCAAACTCGCCCTAAGTGTGCGACAAAAAGTGCTAATAAACCTCGAATCGTTTAGTACCCAGAGATTCTAGAAATGGAATCGATTACCACTAAAAGCAGTGAGTACATCCATTTTGTTGTGGGTGGGGGGGGGGAGGGGGCAATCATTCCGTACCTTGTTGGTGTTTCTACGGCTAATTGACACCGGTGTAGGTATTTTAGACATCCATGATGTTGGGGGATGGGGAGTGTTTGGTTGAAGGGGGGGGGGCAATAATTCCGTACCACGTATCTGTTTCAGTGTATGTAATTTAGCCCCCATGATCTTGGGGGTGGGGTGGGGCAGTGATTGGAGGGGGGTGCGGGGTGAGAAGGGCAATCATTCCGTACCTTGTATGTGTTACTACTGCTAATAGACACCACTGTAGGTATTTTAGACATCAATGATGTTGGGGAGTGGAGGGGAAGTGTTTGGATGAGGGGGGGGGGGCAATCGTTCCGTACCGTGTATGTGTTTTTCTACGGCTAATTGACACCGGTGTATGCATTTTAGCCACCTTTGATTTTTGGGGGAGTGTTTGGATGAGGGTGGGTGGGGGTCGAATCGTTCCGTACCATGTATGTGTTACTACGATTAATTGCATCTAATTTAGCCCCCCATGATCTTGGGGGTGGGGGTGAGGTATTGTTTGTATGGGGTGCGGGGTGAGGGGGTGAATCGTTCCGTACCTTGGAAGTGTTACTACGGCCAATTGATACCTTTATTTCAATACTCCATTTTGTTGAGCGTGGGGGTGGGGGTCGGGGACAATCGACCGTACTTGTAAGTGTTTTTACGCCAAACTGATACCAGTGTAGGTATTTTGGTGCTCACTGGGACATTCGTACTCACTCTCAATGTTAAAGCAAAAAAAAATGTACAAATTTCATTGAAAAATGTTTTCCCCGAGGTGCATCTAAACGGTTTAAATCAAAGCCAAGCTTAGATCGATCTGACGCACGATGCACGTGACGGGGCGCTCACGTTCCGTGCGTGAGTTCATTAATCACGTGCCTTGTTTTACGCGCGGTGAGGGATTGCCCCACAATGACGTCACACCATTTTAAACCGACGCGCACCCCCACTTTCTGTCACCAACAGTTACAAAACCAGCCGGGAAGAGAACATCGCTATTAAAACTACGTTCCATAACTCCTAATTTTTTTCCAACAACTAAACCAGTATTTTTCTTCTTCTTGGTTCTTAATTCTAGTGTTGGAAGGGATTCCCTTAAAAGTATTACGTGCCAACTTGTTATGCGCCATTGACTCTTACAATTTCTGCTGCTTTTGTTTTTGAATTTGTTTCCATCGCCTTTGTCCAACCAAGAACAAACTACAAGGCAGCAGATCGTGGAGTTGTCTCCCCTAAATGAGTTGAGTTTCTGCCCCCAGCTATCGAGCCTCATCTGCCGGGGGTTCGAACTCCGGACTTTTCGTTTCATCAACATCCACTTAATAGACCCCACCACGCCAACCTCAGTATTGAACCTAAATTATTTTTAGTTTTATGTGTCCGTGTTTTTATAAAATAATTACAACATCGTATGCAATGTGTTGGCTACATTGTTAACAAACATTAAATTTAATATAATTTTTGTTTCTTATTAAAAAGTGACCTATACACAGTGTAGCATTCATTGTTAAGACAAAATACGTTTTTAAAACAATTACTGTTTTATAACAAAAAAAAATGATTGATGCAATGTGTATCATACATTGTTAACACACAATACATTTTAAAATAATTACTATGTTTCATAACGAAAAATGGCTTATTGAATGTGTACCATACATTTTTAACACACACTACATTTAAAGAATAATTACTATGTTTTATAACAAAAAATGGCTTATGCAATGAGTAGCATACATTGTTAACAAAAATACATTTTATAATAATGACTGTTTCATAACAAAAAAGGATTATGCAATGTGAAAGGGTTGAATGAGGGCAGCTTTTAAACTAAATTAACCCACCCCACGTTTTACGAGGCTTACTAATTGATCCCTCTAATGAGAACAGTAATGGCGCCAGGTAAACAAAGACTAAATTAGGATGACGTGGGAGTGTCCATGTGTAGACAACACATTTAACACGTAGTGCCACACTTTACACATAATGAATGTTCTATAAATAGTTGTGTGGATGCAATCAATCCAAAGCGATAATTACATAATTATATTATATACATTTACAGAACAAGGTCCGAGAGTCCACTCATCTCTAATGAGTACCTAACTCATGCTAGGGAAAGTTAAGGTGGCTGGGCATAGCGCTGACTACATTATCCTTTCATATGCATTGGTAAAAAGAAACAGGTGAACTCTACTTCTCCTGCCCCATAGATCATTAGGTTTGAAAGATAATTTTACTTATAGTTTAACTTTACATTCAGAAAACTATTTTTTTTAAAAATTATTATTGCAAAATGTATGTGTTAGTTAAAACATTGTATTTTTAAATCATGTTTAAAGTAATATTAGGACAGTTACTTGTGTAGTAGTTATTAATTTTGAGTATAAAATATTGTTTTTGTGTTAACGGTGTTGCAAGATATTACATAAGCATCATCCATATATGTACTTAATATATGCCATTAGCGTAGCGAGGGGGGGGGGGACATATGTCCCCGGGCGCCGACCTTAGGGGGCGCCAAAATGGGTTGTAAAAATATATTGAAAGGTTGAGGGGGGTGGAAATCGAGAGTTTAATTTGGTGGGGGGGGGGTGCAAATCGAAATCTCGAGGGGGGGAGCAAATCGAAAGTTTGAGGGGGGGGGGGGGTGCAAATCGAAAAGTTTGTCCCCGGTCGCCGGGAAGGGTCGCTACGCCTCTGATATTTGCTAAGCTAATGTAGAATAATTAAGCTAAATAGAAGTCGATTCACAGATTATAAGTAAAAATAAAAATCACAACTTAACCAACGTTATGCATTATGTAATAAGTTTACCTCTATTAATATAACAGCCTGTCTGGTTTCGAGATAAATCTGTTCAACAGCACAACAGCTTATTTACTCTTGTGTTACACTGAACTTTGACCTACAACCTTTGACCTACTTATACTAACCTGTACCGACAACACGGATAAGGCAAACATTAACATTAGTCAAGCACTGATTAATTAAATGTAGTGTCTGTGAATGTGTTGTATAGGGCTACTATATAAATATAATTAAGACTTACCTGGCTTAGGTTCACGTGACTAATTAATAAATTATACCGTGCCATAATCTAATCTAAACATTACATTTTAGCATATCCGGCACAAGGCCTACTTTTTTTAACTAACCGGAAAAAACGAAACGAAGTTTGATCCGTGTCAAAGCACACACACAATAAGGCATGGTGTGTAGATTGGTGACTGGGCATTGTACAGTGTCATAGTGTATTGTACTATGGGGTTATAAAGTGGGGGTATTGTGGTGATATAGTATAATGACGTATATTATTTTGATATGGGGTTGTATATTGACATGTAGTATGGTGATCTTGGGTTGTATAGTGACATAAAATATGGTAATATGGAGTTGTGTATAGTGGCATATAGTTAGGTGTCACCCGGAGCGGTAAACTAGGATGTAACACATCTCCCCTTGAAGAAATGTGAATGTTTGGTTTGGTGTCACCCCCTGCCCTGATATTGTATTATTTTAACGTGTTAACATATTGTTTTAATGTGTACGATTTTGTTTCAATTTGGTGTCACCCTCTAAATGATGTCAGACCAGAGGCGTAGCGATGGGGTGGGGGGGGGGGGGGTAGGGGGGGTACATATGCCCCCGGGCGCCGACCTTAGGGGGCGCCAAAATGGGTTGTAAAAACAAATTAAAATGTCATTTTACCTGCTTTTTTGCAGTTTGAAAGGGGGGGGTGCAAATCGAAAGTTTGAGGGTAGGTGGGGGGGTGCAAATTGAAAATTTGCTCCCGAGGGGGCGCCAAATTGAAAGTTTGTCCCCGGGCGCAGGGAAGGGTCGCTACGCCTCTGTGTCAGACACTGCGGAACGCACCCCGACCCCACTTCTTTTGTGATGCTGCCTATTGTGTTGTAATGTGGTGTTGTAAAGTGATGTATTGTGTTCCGATGTGGTGTTGTAATGTGATGTGTTTTGTGGTAATGTTGTAATGTGGTGTTGTAAAGTGATGTGTATTGTTGTGATGTAGTGTTGTAAATTGGATGTATTGTATGGTGATTTGGTGTTGTAAATTGAATGTATAGTATGATGTTGTAAAGTGATGTCTTGTGTGGTGATGTGGTGTTGTAAAGTGGTGTATTGTATGGTGTTGTAAAGTGATGAATTGTATTGTGTTGTAAAGTGATGAATTGTATGGTGTTGTAAAGTGGTGTATTGTATGGTGTTGCAAAGTGATGTCTTGTGTGGTAATGTGGTGTTGTAAAGTGGTGTCTTGTGTGGTGATATGGTGTTGTAAAGTGACGAATTGTGTTGAGATGTGATGTTGTAAGTGATGTATTCTGTGGTGATGTGGTGATGCATGAAGGAAAAAAGGTAAAGTCGGGCAGATGAAGCAGAGTTCATCTGATCTAGGTATATTAAAGTTTATTGTTATTATCACATTTCGCAGATGCCTTTTGCTTTCCTGCCAGAGCTGGGTATGCTAGAAACATTATGTAGACTGAAGACAATGAACATAAATCTATATCTACTTTGCAATCACGTGACCTAATACAGGCCACGTATTCCTTTGATGTCATATGTCACGTGGGCTGTACATTCGTTTTGTTTGAAATTCAAACTCATATCTTCTTCGAGTAGCATCGAGCTATACCGTCTTGTAGACAATCACATTAAAAAAGCAATACTCATCCCAGTTTCTTGATACTTTTCATAAGCAATTACTGAAGTCGGCGTGGTCGGTTAGGTAAAGCTAATGCTACTTAAACCGACAATTTTCCGAGTTAGTACCATTGGGCAAATGCGGCTCAGTATATGTGCTCCGCAACAAATGTATAAGAGACAAATCTAAAATCAAACGACTGCTGCCTTGTAGTTTGTTCTTGGTTGGACAAAGGCAATAGAAAGCAAATCCAAATAGAAAGAATAAGAAAAGCCAACGTTCTATGGAACGTATAACAGGGTTACACGTAAAACGGATATAAAACTTTTCATAGAGAGCTTGTAAGATTGGGAAACATTGATTATTTTTTAATTAATTGGGTCAAAAAAATGGTAATTTTAACACATACATTTTTTTATCTCTTTAAAGTTATTATTTTCTTAATACAAAAATTGACAAAGTATCCAAAAGTGCAAGAAACCCATCACGACGAATAACAAGAAATTTTGTTATTCTTTTCCGCGCATATCCCATCAGAGGCGTAGCGAGGGGTGCGGACTGCACCGGGTGACACCATTTAGGGGGGGGGGGGGGCGACAAGGCAAAAAATAGTAAAATATATAGAGAAAAATTTGAGGGGTGGGGGTGCAAAAAGAAAGTTCGAGGGGTGGATGCAAATCGAAAATTGAAAGTTTGTCCCTGGGAAGAGTCGCTACGCCTCTGATGGGGTGACACCAGTAAGTGCCGCACCGGGTGACACCCGACCTCGCTACGCCTTTGTATCCCCTTAATCGTGTTGGAAGAAATACCGCTCAACATTAAAATTAAGAACGAAGAAGAAGATACGCAATGACAAAATTTCTGACCCGATTGCCCTAATGTATTTCTTTGCTTAACAATCGAGGCATAAATTATATGGGTTTTGGATACGTGATGAACCGCGTCTTCGGGCCATGAACGACAAGCTTGACTGCTTGACCACGGTACACCACACACAAATAACGGGTCGACTTTTTATGACGAGATTTGCAATCAAGAACAAAACCCGATAGTTAACAATTCTTTCTAATCTTCTTTTGCACACAACACACATAAAGTTGGTAGTGAAACAATTAGCTTTCAAAATCATTAGATTTTTTGTGACTAGTTTGAGAAATAGTGACGTTTTTCTATAAATAATTCAGTATTTACAACCGATTTTTTAACAGATCAATCGGAAAAAAGTGAGTTGAATTGTAAGTAATGTTAATTTTACCTTCGTCACAACCTCTTCACGTGATTTTAGAACCTTGAAGGTCAGCGGTGAAAATAACATTGTGAACAGTCAGGACATTTAGTATATAGTCTACAGAACGCGACAGCAACACGTCTTTTAATTACTACATTTCCTTGATATCAGTCAAATATGATTTTCCTAACTTTACTTGAACTGATGATATTTTATCTGGACATAGCTTACGGACAGCTGTGTACTGAATCACCGGTTACTTCCTTCAAGTTTGTACAATTGGAGACTCCGTACACCGGTTGTAACGACAACTCGCCTGGTTTCATCAAACGTTCTAGAATTGATTGTTCATTTTTCTGTATGAACTATAAAAACTGTGTAGCCTTCAGCTACAATAAAACAACACGCATGTGTCGTGTGTGTATTGTTACCACTAAGGCTAAACTGTTTGATTCGGCGGCCACTTCTAGCAGTAAGTTCTACGCCTTGAGTATGGGCATCAAAGAAACTGGGACTCCATCAGATCCGATTTTATTTAAATCTATCGACATACCTTGCGGACTTACTGTCGGAAATATGGTAAGTGTGAACTATTCAAACTGCTATTTAAGTAAAAACTACCTAGTCCTCTGAACACTGTGAAGACTTTATCAATTTTAACCTCTGTACCACATAGGAACTACGCGCTTATATCGTTATTTTTCTATAAAAGGTATGAATTATTTTGTGCTTAACCACAGTCTCTTCCCGTGTGCCCAAAACACACGGGGCTTGTAAAGTAGGGCTGATCTGTTACAATGATCTCGGAATCTGTTACAATGACCTCGGAATCTGTTACACGATATGTTACAATGACGTCGGAATCTGTTACAATGACCTCGGAATATGTTACAATGACCTCGGAATCTGTTACAATGATCTCGGAATCTGTTACAATGATCTCGGAATCTGTTACAATGACCACAAAATCTGTTACAATGACCTCGTAATCTGTTACAATGACCTCGGAATCTGTTACAATGACCTCGGAATCTGTTACACGATCTGTTACAATGACCTCAGAATCTGTTACAATGACCTCGTAATCTGTTACACGATCTGTTACATTGACCTCAAAATCTGTTACAATGACATCAGAATCTGTTACAATGACCTCGTAATATGTTACAATGACGTCAGAATCTGTTACACTATCTGTTACAATGACCTCAGAATATGTTACAATGACCTCGTAATCTGTTACAATGATCTCGGAATCTGTTACACGATATGTTACAATGACGTCGGAATCTGTTACAATGACCTCGGAATATGTTACAATGACCTCGGAATCTGTTACAATGATCTCGGAATCTGTTAAAATGACCGAGGAATCTGTTACAATGACGTCGGAATCTGTTACAATGACCTCGTAATATGTTACAATGACGTCAGAATCTGTTACACTATCTGTTACAATGACCTCAGAATCTGTTACAATGATCTCGTAATCTGTTACAATGACCTCAGAATCTGTTACAATGACGTCGGAATCTGTTACAATGACGTCGGAATCTGTTACAATGACCTCGGAATCTGTTACAATGACGTCGGAATCTGTTACAATGACCTCGGAATCTGTTACACCATCTGTTACAATGACCTCAGAATCTGTTACAGTGACCTCAGAATATGTTACACGATCTGTTACAATGACCTCAGAATCTGTTACACGATCTGTTACAATGACCTCAGAATCTGTTACAATGACGTCAGAATCTGTTACAATGACCTCAGAATCTGTTACAATGACGTCGGAATCTGTTACAATGACCGAGGAATCTGTTACCATGACCTCAGAATCTGTTACAATGACCGAGGAATCTGTTACAATGACGTCGGAATCTGTTACAATGACCTCAGAATCTGTTACAATGACCTCGGAATCTGTTCCAATGACCGCGGAATCTGTTACAATGATCTCGGAATCTGTTACAATGACCTCGGAATCT